CCCTAGCACTAGCCTAGACCGACCTAGACCGGACTGACTGACCGACCAGTACCGTTTTAGTTTCGGCCTCTAGGGCCTCTCCCTACCCGGCTATATAGGCTATAGGACCGTCTATCAGCATAGGCCCATAGGGCCCGTCTGTCCTAGGGGTAGCCCAGGTCTGCTATTCGCAGTTAGGGTAGCTGTAGGAAAATCGAGTTAGTACAGGGCCCATACTTCTATATTTACAAATATGTCCCTCACGAATTTCCCATACAGGCAGGTCTCTCGGTTAGTCCTCAGCCAAACAAAATTACGAATCTGTCCCTACCTAGAGTACAGCCTCGTCAGAGATAGGCTACAGGCAACCTGAAACCAGCAAGTCATTGCAGACCTACCCTCCCCCGGAGCGAGGACCTCCGAGCTAGGGGTGTAGGCGTGCAAAGCGTCGAAGGGGCTCCCCCTTCTGCACAGCCTCATATTTGAGGATAACAGACTTCGCTGTTTTCAGAAGTTCCTTGCGAGTAAACCAGCGGTCCTCTGTATGGGGCTGGTAGAGGAGCTTCACAAGGTACTCCTTATCCGGGCCTGTACCATACTCATCCACAACTTCTTCCACCTCATATCCCTTCCCAGGGATCGGGGGACCAAATTGTGGAGGTCTGTCTGGAAATGCATCAGCCGGCGTAAAAGGCAACAACTTCGATGCATGAAAGACAGGGTAGGTTTGTAGATGCAGTGTGACATCTACATGATAGGATGGCCCGAAAGGGTCAGCCCCCACTGTATCTAAAACCTGCCATGGACCCATGTAACGCAGCAATAGCTTAGGCGAAATGTCCTCCTCCCGCGATAGCTCCTAGAACTGAGTACCCAGACCCAGTCACCAGCGCGAATGGGGGATGGTCGACGATGCTTGTTAGCCTGCTGAATCATAGCTTTTTGGGCTTTGAGCAGGTTAACTCTGGCTCGTTCGATATCCCTCTGGTACTGTCTGGTGAACTCTGCAGTCCCAGGAGTCAGTTTGGGGGTAGCCTTATCGATGATGTCATCGAGAGGCTGCCGTGGCTCACGTCCCCAGTGCAACTGGTAAGGGGTGAACCCTGTGGTGGAGTGTACAGAGGTGTTGTACACTAGGTGTGCCCGTCCTAGAGGAAGATCCCAGTCCTGCTGATTAGGGCTGATCACAAGACGCGGCAGCTGGAAAAGAATCTGGTTCATCACTTCAGCCTGCCCATTGGCTTCAGGATGATGTCCAAATGTCATATTCAGCCTAGAATGAAGGTAGTCCTTGCGGTAGGACTGCCATTCATTGCTGCAGAATCGCGGATCTCTATCACTGACAATAGAGGTGGGTGGTCCATGGTGAGTAACCCACCTGTCAGCAAAGGCCGCTCGTACGGCCGGGACTCTGGCTTCCTCTGGCAGAGGAATAAACTCTGCATACTTAGAGAACCTGTCAACACACACCATAACCTGACGCATCCCACGAGGAGTAGTCCTCCCCAGGTCAGTAAAATCAATGGAAACTGACTATGCTGGTGCATCAAGGATGGGAAGTGGTTGTCGTAGGCCAAAGGGAGGCCGGCGTACGACCTTGTTCCTTTGGCATAGCTCACAGGTTTCTACATAGTGCAGCATGTCTTTCCTCATCTCTGGCCAGAAGAACCGCTGCGACAGGGCAGCCAACGACTTGGCCGCGAGCATCATGACACTCAGACATCATGAGTGTTCTCAGCGGGCGGTCTCGAGGGATGCACAGACGCTCCTCCCCTCTGCTGCAAGTGTACAGCAGACCTGAAACCAGAACAAATCCTGGTTGAGAAGTAGGATCAGTCTGCAGATTTTTGGCCAAAAGTCGGGTCCTGTGGCAATAGTTGGGCAATGGTCTGACGGGTACTCTCCCCAAAGGTACGAGTAGAGGAGATCATGCGGACAATGTCAGGCCTACGAGAAAGGGCGTCTGCTACACGATTGTAGCAGCCCTTCTTGTGTTTCAGTTCAAAGTCAAAGAGATCAATGAACTGAATATAGCGCGCAAGCTTGTCATTCAGTTCCCCTTGGGTCTTCATCCACTGCAAGGTGGAATGATCTGAATAGATCTGGAAGTGCCTGCCTATGAAGAAATGTTTCCAGTGCTTTAGCGCTGACACTAGAGCATACAACTCTTTCTCGTACGTGGAATCCTGCAGCTTCTTGACTTTGATCTTCTTACTCATGTACTCAACTGGCTGCAGACCATGCCCACCATCCTGTTGAAGTACCGCCCCAACCCCATACTGACTAGCATCAGTAGTTAGTACGAAAGGCAAGGTAGGGTCAGGTAACTTCAGAACAGGTGCACGCATCAAGGCCTCCTTGAGGCGTGTAAAAGCCTGCTGACAGTCTGATGTCCAAAGAAAGTGGGTGTCTTTCTTTGTAAGATCAGTCAGGGGTGCAGCAATAGCAGAGAAGTTCTTGACGAACTTCCTGTAGTATGATGCAAGACCCAAGAATGTCCGGACATCACGCACTGTGGTAGGCTGTGGCCAGTCCTGAGTAGCAGCAATCTTAGGTGCTTCAGGAGCTAGCCCTTCCCCAAAGATTACATGTCCCAAATAAGTCACAGAAGTCACTCCAAAGGAGGACTTTTCTCTATTGATCTTATACTGGCCTCATGTAGTGCCTGGAGAACTAGAGCCAAATGTTGCGCATGCTCCTCGACAGATCGACTGAATACCAGGATATCATCCAGCTATACAACTACAAACGTGTCCAGGTAAGTCCTGCGTATGCGATGCATCTCTGTCTAGAACGTGTCAGGGGCATTGCAAAGGCCGAAGGGCATGACCAGGTACTCATAAGTGTCGTATCTTGTCTTGAAGGCAGTCTTGTGGACATCGCCTTCAGCCATCTCAATCTGGTGGTAGCCAGATTTGAGATCGATCTTGCTGAAGATTCTGCAGCCCTGCACCATGTCCAGCAGATCATCAATCCTAGGAAGGGGCTCTGTAGACTTCCTAGTGATTTTATTGAGACCTCTGTAGTCCACACACATTCTGAACTCTCCATTTCCTTTTGGAACAAAGAGAACTGGAGCCCCAAATTCAAATGTGCTGGGTCTGATCCAGCCCTTGCTGGTCAGGGTCTCAAGCTGTCTCCTGAGCTCATCGAGTTCAGCAGGTGACATCCTGTAGGTACGGCCCTTGGGAGGAACCGCACCTGGCAAGAGCTCAATCCTGTGCTGGGTCTGTCTATGGACAAGCCCATTAGGCTCCTGCATCAGGTCTGGATACCGGTCCAAAACCTGCTGACTCGGTGAGGGACAAGGAGCAACATCCACACCAGTCTGTTTCACATATGCGACGAACAGACGTGTGTGGGCAGTCTGGCG